TCCTCGACACTGGTGCTTAGTGTATTTAATAACGACCTATCAATATTTCATTAATTAGTATTTATTTGTAGGTTGTTTCTCAGTAGCGAAATCCCGCTCTTCTTTGATATTTTAGTGCGATCTTTTAGCGCTATTTGGTGAAATTTCTGCCACGCGAAGCAAACGACACTACGCGCCAATCGCGCGATCAGGGCGCTTGCATAGTCGGTCGGACGACAGCAGCGATCGTAACTGTCGCACTGCTGTTGCTGTCGTTCGACCGACTATGCAAGCGCCCTCACTGTTGCGCTACCTTGGTTGCTCTTGTATCAAGACTTTCATGATCGTTACTGTCACTTAGGAGTCGGTGGCTTTCGCCTAGAGATACCGAGAATTCTCCTGCTCACTAGAAATCCTGTAAATCAATTTAGTTCTTGTTTGTAGCTTGAAGTGGCCAGTAGTAAAAGACGAATCCTATGTGCAGTCATGTGTTTGGTATCTTATGGCGTTGCATCACTACCGTTCGAGCAATTACAATGAGATTGAGACCTACTCCAAGGTAAGCGTATGCATTCCACCATTTGCTCATATGTATGGCTCACTCTATCTTTCAGCTGTTTCTCACAAGTGGCCATGCTACTCTGGAGAGTCGAGTTACAGCTGGAGCTTGGGCTGTCTTAGCTTACACGTCAGTTTACCGCGTGTTCCAGGTAATTGAGTTGAAAATTGTCATGGTAGTTTTCCTCAGAAGGTTCTCTGAAGCTGATAGCTCCAAGGAGTGGATATGTATGCTTTCAGATGGACGATGACATGCTGTATTTGGAGTGGCCATGGCATGTGATGCCGTTTCGAATTTCTCTTCTTGTGGATGAAAGTATTGGAGTTGTGTATTTCCAGCTGGCCAATACACTTTATCAAATTGCCACCAGACTGTCGCGTTACCTTCTCACGGTATGTTCACTGACCGGAGTACTGTAACTCCAGCATGCTTTCATCTTCCTTCTAAAGATTGGCTGACCTAGGTGCCGTCTGACGATTGGCGACTACGTCATGCCGAATCACTGCTCCGATCTATTCGCCAAGAGTCATTTCAAAATTTTGAGGAGGCACTATCAAAGGTGAGCTTCTAACTCTGATTTTTATCGCTCCTTCTTTTGATACTTTATTTGCAGGCTGGCCAAAACGAACCCGGTGTCATATGCGAATTCCAATGGTTGTGTTACTTTTTCCTTGCGAAACTTCAATCTAAGCTGGATCCAAATGACGTCGTCAAGGTACTCTACAGTAATAATCACAAATGAAAAGACGAGAGCATATGTTTTTTCTCCTTTACCCTTTTACTTTTCTCAATAAGATTCCCAAGTGCAGGTCTGCTCTTCATCTCATGCAGTAGTTTTGGTGCTTCATTTACTATCTCGCCAATTTTTCTTTGTATTGATCCATTATTCTTTATAACATGCGCTTTTTTGTAGGTGGTTGATTGTATGTTTGAAGCTGCGTGCTCATGTGAATTGTCGGAGTTCTTCTATCCGATCAAAATCAACGTGAAAAAGCAGCAGAACATTGAACCAGTGGAGCTTCACTACCAGATTCATGCTATAGTGTGGAAGTATTTGTGCAAAAAGTAAGGCTTTGTAGTATTCCAGTGGAAAGGCATTTTTTCATTTCAATTGACGTTATGCTCGTCGTTCTTCCTTAACTACGTCGCGATATATTTAGCCCTTCTCCTCCTCTGAAAGCCCTCATCTCACTTGTGGCATACCTACGAGCCATGCAGTACCATAAGGTATAATTTGTTTTACGAATGCTATAATATTTTTTCTTCTTTTTTCTCAATAAGTCTCTTTTTGAAGAGAGGGACTTCTTTCAACGGTCTACCCAACGGCCACAACTTTATTTATCATTTTAAGGTTGTGCGGAGCAACTACTCTCTTTTCTCCTGCTGTCCCGAAATTTATGAAACTGTTGTGCAGATGACTATCGACTGTGATCGTCGACGAAAAGGTGACGTGAGTGAAACGGTAGGTTGCTCAATTCCGTTTACATTCGCGATTATCAGTATTACGCCTTTTCCATTTTTTCTTATTATTAAGTGTTCAAGGGAAAGGCTGTATTAAGTGAGTTTGACTGGGGAGATGCAGAAGATGCAAGACGAAGGAAGTTCACTGTTTGATTGTGTGCGCGTCGAGATGGGAGGTGCTAAATTCATAAGTAATGTGTCTGAACAACACGAGATATGGAAAATGAACAAGAGGCCACAAAATGAAGGGAGGTCAAGTTAGGCTGTAGAGGTTACCAGAGTCAGGGTTTTCGATTGTCTTTCATAATTGGTGAACCGTGGCAAGTAGCCCGTCGCCGCGAGCCTGTGACCAAACTGATGTGAATAACGTGTAATATATATTTCTGTTCGACATCCAGGTTAACCAGCACTTATCCCTTTGTTCAACATTTTCTTGAAATTTTCTGTTCCTGTCATTGAAACTCAGTACTATCATTTCTATGATGTTGGATTTGGAGGTACCCATCGTTAGCTTTCATTAAAGAATGTTCCCTCTTCAGATTGACAATATTATTACCCGAGTGGATTTAATTGAAGAGTTATGGAACCTATGCCATCGAGGATTTGAGGTTAGTTTCGGTCCTTGAATATACTGAACGGTTTGAGGTTTCAATGTTAGACGTTGCATTTTCGAGAGTTCATTGATTTTGTTCAAGTTGGTGTGCGAACGTTTTCCACATATGAAGTCGTATTATCGACTAGCTGAGATGGAGCTCAGCCGAGGAAATGTGGAAGCTGCCTATGGTCATCTGATGAAGCACGTGTTCAGAAAGAAGAAGCGTGATGATTCTCTCTTTGATGTAATGCTCGTACATTTTTGAAGACTGTGAACTTCACAAAATAGCATGTTTGCAGAGTGTTGTGGAAATTACGTCTCAAGACATAGATCGCTCTGGATCGTTCCCATATCACGTCGAAAGAGCCCTGCAGTTGCTCTCATCTCTAGCGTACAGATTAAAGGACATACCCGCGATAGTCAGCATAATCACAACGTTGGTGGCGAATATGGAATCTCGCAACGAGTAGGCTATTCGCAATATTTTTTAATTTATTAACTATAGAGACAAATGTTTTTGAAAGGCAGTTGTTTGCACTTATTTCTAGGGAGTTTATTTTAAAAGAGAGGCAGGGAGCCTTACTGCAGCATGCAATCAGTCGACTTCACATTTTGGTGATGGAATCACCGTCGTCCAAACAATTTCGTTCTGATTTCTACCGAGCTTGGCAAGCGGTTAGCAGGTATGCATAACTTTTGAGATGTGTTTTCTGTTCTTGCTAGGTAGGAATCTTATGAAGAAAAGGTTTTCCTAGCTGAGCAAGTTATTTCTCAAGCAGAAAGCAAAATTGAAGGTCATTAGGTGTTCATTCAGATGCAAGATGCTGGCAGCTCGAAACGCCCAGGTTCATTTACAAGGGATGATTCAGCATGTCTTCGGATCCGTAGAGAACTTTATTGCCGAACAATCGATGGTAGATGATCATAAGAAAAAGCAAGTCAGAGTGAGTTTGGAGTTTTCTACAAAATCGATCTGCCATTATCCGTTTGTCTTACTATCCGTTTTTTCTCTGTAGAAACGGAAACTGACGCCGTACGACCTTGCCGCTGCCGAACGAGAGGCATTGACGCATGGAGGCTCGACTACCGAGCGGCTGGAAATTCCAACCAATTGCTCAGATCCTCTGAAATTGATGCGTTTAGCTCTGAATGTGTGAACTTTGCTAACTTGATCTCGATTGATCTGCAAGTTATAATGTTGTTGATGACCTGATCTCTCATGTGCCGGCTAAATTCTTCTTTGTCATTTCTGAGACGACCATTCAAGGGATCGCGCAACGTAGGACTTGTGACTGTGCTCCAACGTTACGTCTTAGAAGTGGTTGTTGAGATTGTGCCGTGTGCAGCTTGAAACCGGTTCCAAAACGTGTAAAGGATGTTGTAAATATAAGCGTTATAAATTTTATTTTTACGTTGAGGTTTATATTTAATTCTCGCTCTGTCGATTCATATGCAGCTGTCACATGTTTTTCATATTTACTGAGAACTGTTTTTAACGGTCAACTTCAGCAGTGCTGTCAGTATTCCGTCATGGATTGCATAGTAGCGGCGTCCACTGGCGCGTTAAAAGGTGATGAGGTAATCTCTCGAAGTGCGAGTGTTCTCAATTCTTACGGAATCTTTTCAGGTATAAATTTACGTGAGAATTCATTCACGAATTTGCTACCGATTAAAACGTTGGCTCCAAAACAGGATGAAATCACCAGTATGATCTGGTCGGGATCAGGACAGGTACGTGCTTGATCTTTGCTTTGTAGAGTTCGGAGTCATGTGAAGTGTGTGAGGGCCGAAATATGAGGATTGACGCAATTCTGTAATGTGGGAACGACACGGATTGCGCTGAACCGTGTGAAGCTCGCATCTTACGCTTTCGAGTCGATCCTCTTTGCGCCTGTAATGAGGCAATCCAGAACACATTCCGCGTTTAGTTGATGAGCAATCCTTGCACGAATAAGTCTGTTGGGCTCGCATTCACAA